AATGGTGGAAGCCTCACATCAAAAATCAAACTATGCAAAAAGTTATGCCTCTTTTAGTAAAGACTGCTCAGTTTTGGCTCAACCGGATTCATGCCGAACTTCTCCCAAACTAGGTATCTTCCCTCTTCTCCTCTTTTCTTCAACTCCAAAACTTTAAAGAAGACGTTTTGGAAGATTTTTAAAGATTTCACCTCTATTTCATTCATTTCCACTTTGTCCTTGCTCAATTTATCGAAAAGCGCAACATTTAACAAAATGCGAGCCTCGGAACATCGTAGAAACTTTCTTTCAAAAACATTTTGAAAGAGAGGGTTTTAAGGTCTAAAATATTTTGTCAAAATAGTTTTGGTCCAAAAATTGGGTGTGAGGTTAGGATTTGAAGCTCCTCTTGCCGAAGAAATTGAACCTTTGCACTGTTCAACTTTCATCACCAAATAATCCATTAGTGGCGCCCAAGTCTTGGGGGCAGTCAAAAATGGGGTGTCTACAATTAGACATCAACACTAAATCTACTAATAATGGGCTCCATCTGCCACCTAAGCCTTCATACTTACTACAAACCACTTGTTTCCACAAAGCTGACTCCTCTTTGCCATACCTCCACCACCACTTAATTAATAAGCACTCATTAACCTGACTTAGATTTCTCACACCTAGCCCACCTTGATTTTTTCTTAGACAAACCTCCTTTCAACAACTAATTGCACTTTTTTCCTGATTTCAAATGCTCCCCAAAGAAAATTAGCTTGAATTCTGTCTAATGATTTTGCAATAGCCACTGGCAACTTCAAGATGGATAGGAAATATACTAGCAAGCTTGTCAAAATAGACTTTATTAGAGTTAATCTTCCTGCAAAAGACAAATACCTTCTATTCCATGAAGCTAACTCGCTCTTGAACTTATCCACCACTGGTTTCCATGTACTCTTCCTCCTTGGATTTGCTCCTAATAGGAGCCTCGGATAGTTCATTGGCAACTTTTGACTGAGGCAATTAAATTTTTTTTTGCAAAAACCATCACTAGATCATCCTGAACACCCACCCCACACACTTTACTTTTATGAAAATTTATTTTGAGTCCTGTCATCAACTCAAAGCATCTTAATATTCTTTTCACGTCAACAATTTCCTCCCAATCTGCTTCACAAAATATAATAATATCATTAACAAACTGCATGTGAGATAGTTTCAACTCATTTGGCCCTATTGTTACTCCTCTAATCAGGCCCTCTTCTTTTGCTCTTTCCATAAGAATATTAAGGCCCTCTGCTACAATGTTAAAGAGGAAAGGTGAAAGTGGGTTATCTTGCTTGAGGCCTTTCATGGGAGAAAACTCTGATGTAGGTGATCCATTTATTAGCACTGATATTCTAGCTGTAAATATACAAGTCTTCATCCACCCCAACCATTTCTCACTAAAACCAAAATTGGTCATCATTGAATACAAGAACTTCTAATTTAAGTCGTATGCCTTTTCAAAGTCCAGCTTTAGGATGATTCCTTTCTCTTTTGACCTTCTTCACCAATCCACCATTTCATTAGCAATTAGTACCCCATCTAAAATATATTTTTCACTTAGAAACGTTGTTTGTACTTCACTAATGATCTTGGGTAGAACCTGCCTCAACCTTCTTGATAACAATTTAGCTATTATTTTGTACATTGAGCTAACCAAACTGATTGGCCTATAGTCACTCAACCCCACAAGATTTTTCTTGGGAATTAAGGTAATAAATGAACTATTCACTCCTTTGGCCAACTTACCATTAAAGTGGAACTCATTCATCATCTGCACAATCTCTCATTTCATGATGTCCCAGCATTTTTGAATACATTTTAGATTAAAACCATCTGGGCCCGGAGCTTTGTTACCTTCGCAATCTTTAATTGCTTCCCAAATTTCATCCTCTAAAAAAACTGCCTCCAACAATTCAGTTGAATCTGTTTGACTACTTAAGGCAAAAACACCTGACAATTTTGGTCTACACCTCCATCCTTTAGTAAACAACTAACTAAAATGATTTACCACTGCCTGTTTAATCATCCCAGGCTGATCATGAAGTACTCCATTCTCATTAACTAAGTTCAACAAGTTTTTCCTCTATCTTTTGCTTGCCATTATATGAAAAAAACTGGTATTTTTATCCCTATTTTCAGCCCATACATTCTAGTTTTTTGATGCCACAACCACTCCTTCTTCTCGCCTAGATCCTAAGCTAAACTTCTAACTTCTGCCCTTCTTTTAATCTCAGAATCCTGAAGAATCCATTCTTCAGCTTTTAAATCCCATTCATGAAGTTCATCATCTGCTTTTTTTCAACTGCTCATCAATGTTACCAAACACTTCACAGTTCCACATTCTCAAACGTGCTCTAAGATTTCCCAGCTTTTTCAATAACCTATAACTGGCCCAACCACTAACTTGTGATCCTTCCCAACATTTCTTTACTTCTGCTTTGAATTTAGGATGCAAACACCATGCATTGATGAATCTAAACGGTTTTAGGCCCCAATCCCTCCCATATTCCATAAAGAGTATTGAACAGTGATCAGAAATGCTTCTAGGCAGCCCCTACTGTTTAAACTTGAATCCTTCCACCCACCTAGGATCGAAGGAATCTATCAATCCTACTCCATATAGCTCCATCCATCGTATTGCACCAAGTGAAATTTTTTTCTAACATTGGCATATCTATCAGCTCCAGCTTTTCAATCAATTCATTAAAGTCCTTCATCTCCCTCTTTCCTAGAGCATCCTTTTCCTTCGCTCATGAATCTTATTTCATTAAAGTCTCCACCTATACACCAAAGACTTAAAAAGAATGGTTTAAGCTTAGCTAAGGACTCCCATAATTGTCTTCTTTTCAACACATCATTGGGTGCATATACATTTATGATAACACAACTAAAAGAATGATGTACTATACCAGATAATAGTATGAAGTTTATGTTATTGCAACACTCCTTTAGCTTAAAAATTTGTGGATTCCACGAGCATAACATACCACCAGCACTTCCTTTTACAGCCACCTCCATGCACTCCAACTCCTTCCATGGCCATAATGACTTAGCAAAAATATCATCTACTTTGCTTCTCTTAGCCTCTTGTAGCAGAAGGACATCAATCTTTATCTCCCTAACTAAATTTTTTATTTTTCTTCTCTTTTCTTCTCTTTTTTAAACTCTGCTTTCTTCACTTTCAGTGCCTTGTTGTCACACCACAAGCCATTAGCCTTCAGCACTGCCATTTCAGCAGCAACCTTGCAATCATATCTCACAAAACCAAACCTTGATCCCGTTGCTTTTCTTCTTTTTGTTGGGATGAAAGCATCCTTAACTACTCCAAACTTATCAAACAAAGTAAACAGACTCTCTAGATTCATTGAGTTTGGAATCTCATCCACAAAGATCATAAACAATCCATTTTCCATTGATCTACTGCCTTGGTTGCCCACTCGTCTTCTTCTCAACACTGGATTCCAACCTCCAACCTCGAGCCTCCATTCTCGTCAGGTTTAGCTTTCTTGCAACTCCTCTGTATTTTGACATTCCTCGAGAAAAACCACTACTTTTCTGGAAAGTTGAGAATGGTTTCTTGATCTTTAAACTTGTTAACCATAACATCAAATCAAAGATACATAGCATGGTTAATTGTTGATTTTTGGCCGCCTTATGTTCTTACATTGATTTTAGAAACTGATCATTATGTGTAGTGCTTAAAATTGTATTTGATTTCAAAGTTTGAGTGAGAATTTGATTACATAAATAATATCAAGGGCCTAATATATGTAGCGAGTATATTTTGAGAATGACAATCCACATCTTCTGTTAAATTTGTTTTGTTAGATAAATTATACTGGTAGTCTCTATATTTTTGGCTTTGTCTCATTTTAATTCCTCTAATTTTAATTAACTCAATTTTGGTTTTTAATTTATGATTTTATCTCAATTTGGTCTAATTAATTACAATGAGTTGTATTTTTGATGAAAAATGTGCACATAAGTGACATGTTATGCTTTTATAAGAAAAATTGTAAATTTGTTTAACTTAGTGAGTTAATCTCAACCAATTCAGTAATAATTTTTCCAAAAACCCTAATCAAAGTTATCAATTGTACTAAATTGATACAAAATCCAAAATTAACAGTCAAAATAGGATTAGTTAAAATTACATGAATCAAAATAACATAAAAGTCAAAATACAAATACTACCAATATAATTTACCCTTATTATTTTTCTTTTTTGGGTGAAGGGAGGGGGAAAGGGAAAGAAATATGTTGCACCCACAAGGATAATTTTATAATGGGTCTTTTAATGGGACACATCCTATAAATAGAGTGTATAGCATGGCATGCATCAAATATGTGATTGATAATGTGTCACCTCCTAAAAAATGACATGAATTACCAGCCCCATTTAGCATGTCAATATATAACCAAAATCAATTGTGTTTTAATTGTGACCTAATTAAATTGGTGGAAGTTATGAGTTATTATGATTAAAGTTAGGCTGTTGCTACACTAATTTCCACCAGTAGATGATTTTATGAATCTTCTTTATGATGGTAAAAGTTGTTGATTTTTGACCTCTTTTATTACACATTGCATTTACAAAAACTAATTAGGTTCATCATTACATTTTTAGAAAGAGGGATGGGTTAAAATAATTTACTAAAAAAAAAAATAAGTTAAAATAATTAATAAAACAAAATGTTACATACAATTCATAATTATTTTACTTTTTTTTTTCACAATTATCAAATCAACTACAAAACAAGCCAACTAACTTTTTAAACATAACTATTTTAGTCAAATTAAAATAGCCAAAAACTAAATCATCAACAGCCAGCTTTCTAAAGAAGGCCATTGTGTTCAAAATTCTCTTTGATCTCAAAGTGTCAGTGAGAACTTTATTAAATAGCATCAAGAGCCTGTAATATATCTAGTAGAGTCTTACAATTATTATTATTATTTTTTTTAATTTTAGTCGGGGACTTTTGGTATCTTTATTTTACTTGCAAGCCAATGGAACAATAAGCATAGATTTTATTTACGTAATTACTGAAACTGATACATATTTGGTGCACTCACCAGAGCTCAAATCGGCAAATCCCAAATCATAAACTACAGAGCCCTGGCATGTCTTGGTACATCCATAGAGGGAAAAATATCATCCCGGAAAACAGATACATGAACGACAGAATGGAAGGGATTACCCAAACAAAAATAGAAAGGCTTGAAGATGCTAACACAGCATATGTCCCTGTAATGAATGCCACCAACATTGCAATCATAGCATTAGAAGTACAAAGAAAAGCTAAAGCAAGTTGCTGCTTTAGTAAAATCGGGTGGTCAGTCATAGTAACGAGGTGGTTAAGCACTGCAAAACTGGATAATGTCAGGGCAATGGTATCTGTTATCACAAAAGCTTTGAAAGCTGCTTTTCTTGTTAGAATTGCCATTCCTTGGTTCGGGTCTTTGTTATCATTAACGTAGCCACCAGGCATGGTGATACCTGCTGCGAAGGTCACCGTTGCTATCAGTGTAGCCACTATCAAATTGGTTTGCTTCGATTTTAAGATGTTCGCGGGTACTATCACCGTTGCGAGTGCTTTGTTAAAAGATAGAGTTGGCTGTAAGAACAAAAACAAAAACTAAATTATAAACGTAAAAAAATTGAACATGCTAGTGTTTGAAGTTTGACTACTCAAATTACCCTTTCCGCTCTTTGAAATTTCTTTAGAAGAATGTCCCAAGCTTCTTTCGCTGTTTCAACTTTCATGATTTTTTCAAAGATCCAGTCTGAGACGCCTTGCTGGATTAGAGAAAGCGCTTTAGCATTCTCCTTTTGGTTCCCCCGGTTATTCTATACCGTATTCTGTTCCGTATCCCACAAATCCATAGATAGAAATATAGTTTTCATCTTCACATTCCAAAACTCGTAGTTCTCACCATCAAAAATTGGAATTGTGGCCTCCATGGAGTTTTAAGGATTTTCTTTCTTCACCTTGCACCTGATATTGCTTCTACAAACCAACAACTCTGATACCAGATGGCAGCCTTTTGTGTAGGCCTATGTAACTTAGTTGTTGTTTCAGTATTAGAATTGAACAAAACAACAAGAACTTGACCAGACTTTGGCAAGAAGAATAGAAGTAGATTTTTCTGCAGCAAAACATCAAGTATTTATGGCTTCGTTTGGGAAGTTGTTATTTTAATAGGCTATTTTAATTTTTAATTATTTTAATAGGTTAAAATTTTTGTATTTGAAAAGATGATTAGATTTTTTTGTAATTGGATGTGATATTTGTGAGAGAAAAAGTGAAATGATTATGAATTTGATATGATATTTTGTCTTACTAAATATTTTAAGGGGCTGGACTCCAGTGATAACTAAATGGGCCGGAGTGTTCAGGGTGAAAGTCCCGAAAATCCTTATTACGTTTGTGTAACGTAGATAAATGGAAGTATTGAAGTATTGTTGATATGAGTTGTTATCTCATTTGAAATTGAAGTATTGTTGTTATGAGTTGTAGTCTCATTATATACTGTCTGGATGAACAGAGAACCATAATTATGATTTGGTTTGGATTATGAAATGAAAATGAATGGAAATGATATAAATATATGTATCTATGATTACGGATTGGTTATGAGAGGAATGTATGTTTGTTAAAATGAGTTAAACATTTATCACTACTGCTAATGTTTTAGTTATTGCTCATATTATGTTTAGCATATCTCTACTGGGCGTTGGCTCACTATATATGGGACATCATTTTCAGGTACAAGTGATATGCCACCTCCAAGGATGTAGCTTGGGAGGTTATAGAAACTGAAGGCTTAGTTTTTTTGTGAATATTTTGTGTATTACATATAATTCAAGCCAATGGCTTAATGTGTTCAGAGTTTGTACTTTCTTTTGTTGAATCTAAGCGTTGACTTGGAAAGTTATAAGCCCGTAGGACATTTACTTTTGTCGTCAACATGTAATACTTTTGAACTAAATACTCTGATGAATGGAAGTATGTTTTATTCTTTTATGTCTTGAAGGATTGGTTATGTGTATTATTTTGAGAGCGTTACAATTAAAAACTATTAATTGACTTGATAATTTATTAATAAAATGAGTGATTTGTTATGAAATTAGAAATCTCAGGAGGTGAAATGTAATTTTCAAAATTACAGAGGGTATTTTTATTTTAATTAAATCTCAAGAGGTGTATTCGTAATTCATTCATTCTTTTTTTTTTTTTTTGGCATCATGAGTGAGGGAGGTAAAAGGATAAGAAATATGTTGCACCCTCAAAGATAATTTATAAGGAGTCTTTTAATGGGACACATCCTATAAATAGTGTGTATGGCATGGCATGCATCAAATATGTGATTAATAATGTGTCACCTCATAAAAAATGACATGAATTACCAGCCCCATTTAGCATGTCAATATAATCAATTGTGTTTTAATTGTAAACTAATTAAATTGGTGGAAGTTATGAGCTATTATGATTAAAGTTATGCTCTTGCCACACTATTTCCACCACAAGATGATTTTATGAATTTTCTTTATGATGGTAAAAATTATTGATTTTTGACGACCTCATTTTATTACACTGCATTTACAAAAATTGATTAGGTTCATCATTACATTTTTAAAAAGAAGGGTGGGCTAAAATAATTTATTAAAAGACAAAATAGATTAAAATAGTTAATAAGATAAATTATTATATTCAATGTATAATTATTTTATTTTTTCTCTCATAACTACCAAAAAAAATAAAAAACATCAACAACAACTAACTTTTCAAATACAACTATTTTAATCGGACTAAAATAACTAAAAAACTAAATAAGCAATTAAAATAGCCAACTTTCTAGGCCATTGTGTTCAAAATTCTCTTTGATCTCAAAGTGTCACTGAAAACTTTATTATATAGTATCAAGAGCCTCTAATTTATCTAGTAGAATCTTACTATTATTATTATTATTTTTAATTTTAGTCAGGGACTTTTGTTATCTTTATTTAATTTGCAAGCCAATGGAACAATAAGCACAGATTTTATTTACTTAATTACTGAAACTGATACAGATTGGGTGCACTCATCAGAGCTCAAATCGGCAAATCCCAAATCATAAACTATAGATTTTGCTCAACAATGATTCATCCCATTAAAAATATCACCATTAATAGCACTAATGCATTAAAAAAGTAAAAATAAAAAATAAAAAATACAACTCTAAAATTAAAACATCACATCATTAATGACGAAACTCACTGCCACCTAATTAGTAGGAGCACTAATTAGTGCTCCGAAGCATTATTCGATTTTGCTCGCTTGGGAGAGAGAGTGCGAGAGTGCCGTTCGATGTCATCGGACAACAGTAGTGGGAAAAACGCGTAGTAAATCGCGTACAGGACCGACAGAATGGAAGGGATTACCCAAACAAAAATAGAAAGGCTTGAAGATGCTAACACAGCATATGTCCCTGTAATGAATGCCACCAACATTGCAAACATAGCATAAGCAGTACAAGGAAAAGCTAAACCAAGTTGCAGCTCTAGTAAAATCGGGTGGTCAGTCATAGTATAGAGGTGGGTAAGCACTGCAAAACTGGATAATGTCAGGGCAATGGTATCTGTTATCACAAAAGCTTTGAAAGCTGCTTTTCTTGTTAGAATTGCCATTCCTTGCTTCGGGTCTTTGTTATCATTAACGTAGCCACCAGGCATGGTGATACCTGCTGCGAAGGTCACCGTTGCTATCAGTGTAGCCACTATCAAATTGGTTTCCTTCGATTTTGAGATTTTCGCGGGTACTAAGGCTTTTATGACTGCTAAGAATTTTGCGGGTACTACTTTTGCGGGTACTACTTTTGCGAGTGCTTTAATCGGTAGAATAGTTGGCTGTAAGAAAAAAAAACAAAAACTAAATTATAAACGTAAAAAAATGGAAAATGCTAGTGTTTGAAGTTTGACTACTCAAATTACCCTTTCCTCTGTTCGAAATATCTCTTGAAGAAAGTTCCAAGCTTCTTGCGCTCTTTCAGCATTCATGATTGCTTTAAAGATCGAGTCTGAGACGCATCGCTGGATTAGAGAAAGTGCTTCAGCATTCTTCTTTTGGTTCTCCCTGTTAGTCTCATCGTGGTACCCATTCTCTACCATATCCCACAAATCCATAGATAGAAATAGAGTTTTCATCTTCACATTCCAAAACTCGTAGTTCTCACCATCAAAATTTGGAATTGTGGCCGCCATGGAGTTTTAAGGATTTCCTTTCTTCACCTTGCACCTGATATTGCTTCTACAAACCAACAACTCTGATACCAGATGGCAGCCTTTTGTGTAGGCCTATGTAACTTAGTTGTTGTTTCAGTATTAGAATTGAACAAAACAACAAGAACTTGACCAGACTTTGGCAAGAAGAATAGAAGTAGATTTTTCAGCAGCAAAACATCAAGTATTTATGGCTTCGTTTGTGGCTTCGTTTGGGAAGTTGTTATTATAATAGGCTATTTTAATTTTTGATTATTTTAATAGGCTAAAATTTTTATATTTGAAAAGATGATTAGATTTTTTTGTAATTAGATATAATATTTATGAGAGAAAAAACGAAATGATTATGAATTTGATATGATATTTTGTCTTATTAAATATTTTAATTTATTTTATTTTTTTGTAAATTTTAACTTAAACTAACCTTCTTTTTTTTTTTTTTCTTGACAAACACCTCCTATATATTGATTCTTCACAACTTGATGACTAAAGAAGTGTACGGAATATCAAACCATAGAGACTATAGTTTACATAACTTGACCACACATATTTGTGGTTACAGCTGTCATGCAGAAAAAGTTAATGAATCATTAATCGTCAAAAATTAGATTGAACCGCCATGGAGTTTTAAGGATTTTCTTTCTTCACCTTGCACCTGATATTGCTTCTACAAACCAACAACTCTGATACCAGATGGCAGCCTTTTGTGTAGGCCTATGTAACTTAGTTGTTGTTTCAGTATTAGAATTGAACAAAACAACAAGAACTTGACCAGACTTGGGCAAGAAGAATAGAAGTAGATTTTTCAGCAGCAAAACATAGAGTATTTATACACTGATTCTTCACAACTTGATGTCTAAAGAAGTGTACAAAATATCAAACCATAGAGATTAACTATAGTTTAACTTAACCAAACATATCTGTGGTTACAGTTGTCATGCAGAAAAAGTTAATCAATCACTAATTGTCAAAAATCAGATTGAATTGAAGGGCAGATGTGATAATCCTACCTAACTGAAAATTAATTTAAACTGCACTTGAGAATAAAAAATGACTTAAATTTAAATTTGGCGTGGTGTGTGTCGGCATTCTATTTTGATTAACCTTAAGATTTGAGTACTTTTTTTTGAACATTCAATGATGAAAATAAGAATATGTTATCTCACATTTTAAGCTTTAATCCACTCATTTATCCGTTTTGGCCAAAATGTTTTAAATCTGTTTTAACTTAAATTTTATATATTTGACTCGTTAAAATATATTTTATTAGTTTATTTATTTTTTATTTTATAATTTTATAGGTTCTTGTGTATATTTTTAGGTATTTATATATACATATATATATATTTATACAAATAATATTTTTATATATTATTATATTATAAAATACATAGTAAATTTACGCGATGCACTGTAATCTTTTGAAATCATTTCCTTCTCCACCAAATTCTTTTTTTGTCTTTATCTTTTTTGTTTTTTGTTTTATTTTGTTTTTTTTTTCTCTTCTTCTCTATAAAAATGCAGACGGGGGGAGGGAACTGGGGAGGAGAATCAAATACAAAATTTTTTTGTTTTCAGATAGGAGAAAAAATAAGAAAAAAGTGAGAGAGAAAAAAAGGGAAAGAAAATTGATTTTTAAAGAGGAAAAAAAAAAAGCCTTAAATATATATATATATATATATTTTATCAAACCTTTCTTTCAATTCTCTCCATTACCTTTTCACCAATGCACCATTCAAAAAATACCTTTAAAGTTGAAATTTTAAACTTGAGACTAAGAATTTAAAACATATTTCACAACCTTGAGAGTAATCAAAAGAGAGTTTGAAAATTAAAAAATTCATTATTTTTTCAGAAGGTAAATTTTTGCAAACTGTCACTCAATAAAATGTGATGTAAACTATGATAAACTATTTTGCGCTTTGAATGGTCGGTTTCAAACCACCAACATAAACTGTTGTAATTTATTATTTTACATAAATTGTTGTAATTTACCACTTTAAATAGCCGATGTTTCACCACTTACACAAACTTTTATAATTTACCACTTTAAATGGTCGGTGTTTCACCACCTACGTAAACTGCTATAATTTACGCTTTAAATGGTCAGTGTTTCACCACCTACATAAACTGTTATAATTTATTGCTTTATATAATTGGTTGAACTACCTATTTTTTTAGAGATGTGACCCCACCAGAATAGTTACCGCCAAAATAGTGACCGACGGATGAATAGTATCCACCAGAAGAATAATCCGCTAGATAAATAGTGCTCCAACCAAATGTGTTTTCTTGGACGAAGCAGAGCAGTCACTCAATAGCAGGCAGAACAATTTTCGGTGATGCCATTATGATACCTAGTGATGCCAATGTTCGCCATTCTTTGTCCATATTGACGAGACAATGGTGGATCCACGTATGATGTTCCATGATCGTATCGGCGAGTTATGTTCTTATCAAGTGGTGCTTTTCCATACCCGTATCAACAAGTCATGGACGTATTAACAAGTCAAGGGGTTTAATAGATGCCATTTCACTCTCGCATTGGCAAGTCATGGGGTTTATGTACCCAGTGATACCTTTTCTATACTCACATCGACAAGACATGGGGGTTGTAAATATCAAGTAGCACCTTTCCATGCTCGCATCGGCAATATATGAGGTTTAAATGCTATTCCACGCCGCATCGACAAGACGTAGGAATTTATATGCCAAGTGGTGCCTTTCCATGTTCACATTGGCAAGACATAAGGGTTTAAATGCTATTTCACGCTTTGCATCGGCAAGACGTGGGAATTTAGATGCCAAGTAATGCTTTTCCATGCTTGCATCAACAAGACATAGGGGTTTAAATACTATTCTATGCTCGTATCAGCAAGACGTGGGATTTAGATGCCAAGTGGTGCCTTTTTATGCTTGCATTGGCGAGACATGGGGGTTTAAATACTATTTCACATTCACATCAACAAGACATAGGAATTTAAATACTATTCCACGCTTGCATCGACAAGACATGGGGATTTAAATACTATTCCACGCTCGCATCGGTAAGACGTGAGAATTTAGATGTCAAGTTGTACCAAGTGATTCTAAACTTTGCCAAGATGTATTACGTGATGCCAAGTTTTACCAAGATTTTGCCAAGTGTTTCCCGAAATGTATTAAATGGTGTCAAGTTTTGCCAGAATCTTGCCAAGTGTATTAAATGGTGCGAAGTTTTACCAAGTGGGTGCCAATTATTTGTCAAGATTTTGCCAATTATTTGTCACGTGGGTGTCGAAATTTACCAAGTGGTACCATGATGCCAGATGTGATTTTGAGGAATTTTATGTCATTATGAGAAAATTGATGATATATCCAATCTAAAGAGGGTGCAAGGCATCAAGTCTATAGATATTTTTGTTGGGGAGAGGTTTACCATTTGTAAAATAGTTTGGTGAGAAATTCTTTTGTTAGTTTCAGAAGACATTTTATTTCCAATTTGACCTCCTTAATTTATCTATTGACTATTTTTTTCATCTATTTAATTTTTTTGACTATCTGTTCAATTTTTTTTCTATCTGTTCAATTTTTTCTCCTTATCTGTTATCCACATTTTATTATATGTTCAAACATATATATATATATATATATATATTAATTTTGTTTATCAGTTGAAATACCAAGTCAAACCAAATTCTATTTGTTGAAATAGAAAGCCAACAACAATGGTTAATTAACCTATCTATCTAATTTTTTGAATATTATTTGAAAGTTATTGTCAAGTAATGATATTAACATAATACTTGTGCGGGAGCCAAATATCTGACGCTATCCGTACTCCTTGTGTCCAAGCTGCGCTTCTCTACGACTGACCTGAGAACACAAAGATGGTGAGTTACCCGGTAGTATGCTGTCAGAAAAACCCTCTGACGGTTAAGTTAGCACACTTAGAGAGAGAGAGAGAGAGAGAGAGAGAGAGAGAGAGAGAAAAAAAAAAAAAGAGGAGAAAAAGTGGTAGGTGAGCTCTGATCACCAGATGTTCCCAGGCCTGTGCATAGAGGCACAACTCCTTTTATATAGTTTCTGCACGCGCTTCTGCGTCTATTCCCTACTGGACGCGTGGACCTGCTCTTCTCTTACTTTTTCCCATGTGTCAGTGCAAATACAGCTAGCAACAAATGACGAAATTGCCAAATAGTACCAACATGCACGGATGGGGGGATCTTCTTCTCGCGATTTTGCCTCGCCGCATCAACCTTCCAATCGGGCTATACTCACCACCTTGACTTCCCCTTTCTATTGGGGCCACGCTATCCGCCTGGTATCATTGGCCAGACCCGAATGTGGACTCAACCGAGCTCCATGGCCACAACCGAGCAACTGCTCGGCTGAATTTGGTCTCAAAAGACAAATCCCATGAAACAGCACCGGGCTAGTGGCCCAAAGTTTTCCCAACTTGACCGAAATAAGTCCTCGGTTGAATGTGTGCCTACCGTTCGATCAAGCAAGGGCCCCGATTCCAACCCAAACTAGCTCGGCCGTTTGCTGGATTACCTCTCTTAATTGCCCCTTAATTCTGTCCGCGCTAGCGTGACTGGGATTACATTCATTACTTGAGCTCGCTTTCTTGTTCGGTCATCGTCCACTCCATTCAAGGCTCGGGTATCCAAGTTTCCAAACCGATCAACTAAATCAACTGTGCTAATCGCTACGCTTGTCTTCACAACTTGCCCGCCTGGCGATTGGTCTGTCCAATCCGTCTTTTCAATACTGATTCCAGTCCCATCATACACGTGTCGCTCGTCTATTGGTCTCGTACAGCCAACCCAACCGTCTCTTCTAATTCAAACTTTGGCACCCCTTCCTCTCTCACATATATTGACACGCCTCTTCACATTTCTTCTTCCACTGTTCATCTCCGTCCACGTAGACGACTCAGAGTGACAATGTACCAACCTCCCTACCTTTTCATTTCTTGCCCTAATCAAAGCATTTCCTTGGTGGATTCGGCACTTTCATGATCGTCAGAGACTCACCGGCCGACTAGGACGCCGATTGAAGCCCCAATTTCGTAAGTTCTTCCTACCTCTTTCGCTTTCCATAATATTCTTCCTATTTTTGAGCTTCTCACATCACTTTCTTCCAAATGATATGGTTATATTACAAAACACAAAGAAACTAAAATAGGGTCAAATTAACTAGGGCT